GCTTAGCCCAGCACCTGCCCCGGCAGAAGCTGGATAAATATTTACTAAATAAACTGTACAGTAACCGCGTGGTGAAGTCAGGCTGATACAATTATCCCCATTTTACAGACTGGCCAATGGAGGCCCAGCAAAGCAAGGTGACCTGTCCAAAAATCATAAAGCCAGAAAGTGGTTAAGGAAGAGATGAACCCAATGTCCCAGACTCCTGTGACAGGCCCCCTTCCACAGCATCACCTCCTTTCAATGTCAGCCTGGAATCCATTTCAACAAGGGATTTACAAATAACCATTTTCACTCTGCACTAGTGATTCGTAACTTTTGTGGATCATGGGCCCATTTGATAATCCAATTAATGTTTGGAGCCTTTGGGAGGTCAAGGCAGAGAGATCGCTTGAGTCCAGGAGTTCAAGATCAGCCTGGGCAACACAGCAAGACCCTGTCTTATAAACAAACAAACAAAGTTTGGATCCTTTTCCTAAAATAACACACATATGAAACTTAGATAATAGTTTTCAGAGGTTTCCTGAACGCCTGAAGCCCATCTGTAGACCTCAGTTAAGAATCCCCTTTCTAGGCTGGGCACAGTGGCTCACGCCTATAATCCCAGCACTTTGGGAGGCTAAGGTACGAGGATCACGCAAGATAAGGAGTTCGAGACCAGCCTGACCAACATGAGGAAACCCTGTCTCTACTACAAATACAAAATTAGCCAGCATGGTGGCACGTACCTGTAATCCCAGCTACTCAGGAGGCTGAGGCAGGAGAATCACTTGAACTCGGGAGGCGGAGGTTGCAGTGAGCCGAGATCATACCACGGCACTCCGGCCTGGGCAAAAAGAGACAAACTCCATTTCCAAAAAAAAAGAAAAAAAATTCCCTTTCTACACTGCTATCTGGGTAAGTTAATTTGTTCTCAGGATTTTAGAGCCATCTCTACATTCCTATGCATCAGAATCATCTGGGGGTGCTATTTAAATTTATGTTTCTAGGCCCATCCCCTGTGAATCTGGTTAAATAACTCCAGGGCCAGACCTAGGAACCTGCATTAGGCACACCGAGGATTCTGGGATGGGTGGCTCTCAAACATACCCACCTGGATGCATGAGCTGCTGCCTCCCAGATCTCTGATTACAGCCCTGGTGGCTTCTCCAGCTCCTGGCCTCTCCTCCCAGCTGTCCACTGGCTACTAGAATGTTCCAACACAGCCTAACAAGGACCACTCTGAACTCAACATCTTTCCTCCAAAAGTGCTTCTTCACCTGAGTCACCAGACCACCAGCCTGAGCATCACCCTGATGATTCCCATCCCCACCCTACATCTTGACCATCAGCAAGGTGGGCGGGTTCTACCTCCCCTGTGCCTCTGGGCCCCTTTCCTCCATCATCCCTGCCAGTGCCTTGGTCTGATCTCCTACCCTCCTTCTACCCGAACAACCCAGCCTCCATCCTGCAATCCTCATATCACTGCCCTGAGCAAAATCCTTCCACGGTGACTGAACTCTGGAACTGCCCTGCCCAATGCCACAGTCATATGTGGCTATTTACATTCAATTTGATTAAAGTAAATAATATCGAAACATCAGTCACCCTGGCCACATTTCAGCTGTTCAGTCACCACAGGTGGCTGGGGCCACCGTGCTGCACAGCACAGATAAAGGCACAGCCCCATTCTCTAGAACGTTCAGTGGACAATGCACCTCCAGAGCTTGGAGCTTGGTTGCTGAGCGCTGCAGGGTCTGGCCCCAATCTCCACTCAGGCCACTCACCAGCACCTGGGTCTTGAGCCACACAGAACCATCCTAAACTCATGACCTTCCCTCCAGGCCTCCCCATGGTATATCTACCCCTCCCAGCCTAACCAACTCCTACCCCACCTGTGGGTCCCAGCTTAGCTGTTTCCTCCTCCTCTGGCCAGGGTAAGAACCCCAGCTTCTGCCTATCCCCGCATTTAAAATACTGAGCTCTGGCCAGACGCGGTGGCTCACACCTGTAATCTCAGCACTGTGGGAGGCCAAAGCACGCAGATCACCTGAGATCAGGAGTTTGAGACCAGCCTGGCCAACATGGTAAAACCCCATCTCTACTAAAACAAAACAAAACAAAGAAAAAAAACACACCAATTAGCCAAGCGTGGTGGCGTGCACCTGTAGTCCCAGCTACTTGGGAGACTGAAGCAGGAGAATTACTTGAACCCAGGAGGCAGAGGTTGCAATGAGCCTAGTTTGCACCACTGTGCTCCAGTGTGGGTGACAGAGCGAGACTCCATCTCAAAAACAAAAACAAAAACAAAACAAAACAAAACACAAATACTGAGTTGTAACAGCCACTGGTATGCCTACTCCCACCCCACAAATCAGTGGTTTTCAACCGGGGGCAAGTTTGCCCCATAGAGGATATTTGGCAATGCCTGAGACTTTATGGATGGGCTGCTACTGGCATCTGGTGAATAGAGGCCAGGGATGCTGCTCAACATCCTATGGTGCACAGGACACTCCCTGCAGCAAAGAAGTATCTGGCCTAAAACGTCAGGAGTGCTGAGATTAAGCAACCCTGCCCTAGATTGCGCAACCCGTAAAGGCAGGAGTGGAGTCCTGAACTCTGCATATCCCCAGCCACTAGCCCAGAGTTGGGCATACAGGAGATGCTCAATAGAGATTGAACACATATGAGTTCAGATGTTCTAGAAGATTCTTTACCCAGGATTCCAGTTCTCCTGCAGTGTCTTCCTTTAAAGATAATCACTGGCCATTATGGTGGGATGAATAATAGCCTCTGAAAATATCCAGGTCTTGGATGGGTGCAGTGGCTCATACCTATAATCCCAGGGCTTTGAGAGGCTGATGCAGGAAGAGTACTTGAGGCTGGAAGTTCCAGATCAGCCTGGACAGCATAGCAAGACCCCATTTCTACAAAATTAAATTTTTAAAAAATTAGCCAGGGGTAGTGACAACCCTTATAGTCCTAGCTACTTGGGAGGCTGAGGCAGGAGGATCTCTTGAACCCAAAAGTTTGAGGTTCCAGTAAGCCATAATTGTACCACTGCACTATAGCCTCGGCAACAGAGTAAAACCCTGTCTCAAAAAAAAGAAATCCAGGTTCTAATCCTCAGAAATTGTGAAGGCTACCTTATATGACACAAGGGACTTTGCAGATGTAATTTAATTAAGAATTTTTTTTGTAGCCTCTGCCTCCTGGGTTCAAGTGATTCTCCTTCCCCAACCTCCTGAGTGGCTGAGATTACAGGTCGTGCCACTATACCTGGCAATTTTTTTTTTTTTTTTTTTGAGACGGAGTCTTACTCTGTCTCCCAGGCTAGAGTGCAGTGGCCGGATCTCGGCTCACTGCAAGCTCCGCCTCCTGGGTTCATGCCATTCTCCTGCCTCAGCCTCCTGAGTAGCTGGGACTACAGGCGCCCGCCACCTCGCCTGGCTAGTTTTTTGTATTTTTAAGTAGAGACGGGGTTTCACCATGTTAGCCAGAATGGTCTCGATCTCCTGACCTCATGATCCACCCATCTCGGCCTCCCAAAGTGCTGGCTTGAGCCACCGCGCCCGGCCTACCTGGCTAAATTTTATAGCTTTTGGTAGAGACAGGGTTTCACCATGTTGGCCAGGTTGGTCACGAAATTCTAACCTCAAGTGATCTGCCCGCCTTGGATTCCCAAAGTGCTGGGATTATTTATGGGTGTGAGTCACTGCACTCAGCATATAATTAAGGATCTTGAGATGCAAAGGTTATCCTAGATTATCTGGGTGGACCCTAAATGCCATCACAACAGTCCTTACAAGAAAGAGGCACAGGGAAACTTCTCTCTCTCTCTCTCTCACACACACACACACACACACACACACACATACACACACACATCACCTGACCATGGAACAGAGAGAGATCTGAACATGCTATAATGTTGGCCTTGAAGGTGGAGGAACAGGCCACAAGCCACAGAATGCCAGCAGCCACCAAAAGCTGGAAAAGGCAAAGAACAGATTTTCCCCTAGTTCTTCCAAAGGGAGGATGGCCTTGCTGCCACCTTGGTTTCAGCCCAGGAACACTGACTGTGGACTTTTGGCCTCCAGAACTGCAGGAGAATAAACTTCTTTGGTCTTAAGCCAAGATGATAATGGTAATTTGTTCTAGCGGTCATAGAAAACTAATACAGTCTATTCCTTTCCGGGGTTTATGAGAGAGTTTGATATTAAAAACAGAGACTTAACAAGGAATGGCATTTAGGTGCCAAGGCCCATTCCATGCCTACTGGCTCTGATAGCTGGAAGGAGAGATAGGGCAGAACTGGGTGGGTGAGTGAGGCTGAGCCGTGGGTGTTTCTAGAAGGGGCTGCCGCCTGGGCCATCGGTAACCACGTTCACGGGTCACTCCTCATGCTTTGGTCCTGCCACCTTCTGGGATGCTAGAGGTCTCAGGCAGTTAAGTGACTTGACCCAGGACTAGCCTGTCTAACTAGACTCAGCAGGGATACGAATAAAACTCCAAGCCCTCTTCCACGTGTCCAGCCCACTGCCAAGCTTGCTCCCCTCTAGCCTCAGTGGCTTTCTCTGATCTTACAACATAGCCCCAGGGCCTTTGTGCTTGCTGCTCTCAGCTTGGAACACTCTTTCTCTGGAGTCTCCCATGGCCGGCCGCTTCTCATCATTCAGGTCTCAGCTCAAATGTCATCTCCTCAGAGAGGCCCTCCAATGGCTGCACTAAGGCAAGCGGCCTTCTCTAGTTACCTTCTCTTTCATCACAGGGCTGAATTTCTTCTCACATTCAATTATCTCATTAATCTCTTTGCCTGTTCAACATCAGCTCCACCCCTTCTTCCTGCTTCTCCCAATGCAGGCTCCAGGAGGGCAGGGACCTTTTCTGATGTGTTCACAGATACGTCCCCAGACCCAGGCCTGGCACACAGTAGGTGCTCAATATATTTTGAATGAATGAGTAAATGAATGAATTTGCAGCTTTGGGGAACGCCTGACCCAAGCTCCATCCCAACACACCTGATCTTGGCTTTCCTAAAGGCCAGCTCCTCCTCGTTTCCAAAGTCCAGGGACACATCCTCCGTATCGTCCACCAGGGCCTGGGGGGACAGCAAGGGCAGGTGGCAGGCCCAAGCGCGGTGCACACCCCGACCCCACCCGCCCTGTCCTCCTGGGCTTGGACTCCACTCGCACCCCACTGGGTTCCCAAGTGGACCCTCCGAGCTGGCGGGGCCCCTCCGCTGCGGCCGCAGTGGCAAAGCCCTCTCCACCCTCCCGACAACCGGGTGCAGCCCAGCCCCAGGCCCCGGCGCATCCCTCCTCCTCCTCCCGGCTTCTCCAGCGCTCCAGCAAGCTCCTCTCGTCCCCGCCCCACCTCCAGCCCCAGCATCCCCGTGGCCCTACCTGCTTCATAACCCTCCCAGGAGCCCACCTGG